AACCTTGGAAGAGCCCGTTAAGTAGAAGAGTACACATCAACTAATATTAATGCACTCGCAATACATTGATAATAAATCTCGGAGAGGAAAAGAAGTAAATTATGATTAAAATTATACTATCATATCACTATAATCACTGTAATTCACCATCACCCGACATGATCAACAAATCACATCATCCCCGTCGGTCATACAGACCGACGCATTGGAATATCTCCATCGACCCGAGACAATGGGATACTTTGATCATCCACGGTTCTGGATTTGATTGCATCATCCATGGATGACAGCGGACCCCGGGTCCGCGGAGACCCTTGCATATCCAGAATCTGGGCTCGGTCGCGTGGAACACCGAGGGGGAGTGCCATGTGTCCTGACGTGAGAATCGGGGAATTGGTATCCGCGAGATCTCCAATAGGTTCTCTGTGCAACGTACAGCGTAGATTCGCAAGCTCCGTAGATACTTTTCTGGAATCTCGAGTATTTCAATCGACAAAGAAGGGCTAATTCTGGAAAACAGGCCCGGTCGGCGGAGTGTGTAAAGTAACCGGTTGGTTGAGAGTAAGGGGAAAATTCACATGGCGGGAGTCACCACCATAGCCCAACATCGCTCCCTCACGAAGTCAATGACCGGCGCCGAGACTGAGTCGCAGTAGTGCAGCCGGCCAGCGGCTGTCTTATGTTCGAGCAATTCCACAAAATCGAGGAGCGGTATCTCTGCTCCTCCCGGGTCAGGCGAACCTGTTTCCGCGCGAAACTAGAAGGCTTCAGGGGGATTGTGCAGGAGGCGGAGCGACTACCGTAGACAGGCATGCGGCCCTTGGAGAGAGATGGGCTAGCGCTAGTCGGATTATCGAGGGTCGCGCTGAGCTCGTAGCATTGACGGACGAGCTCCTGCACGCCATCAGTCAGGCGGGAGGCGCGCTCCTCAATATCCGGCCAGAAGGCATCGCCCCAGAAGGGGTCTTCGCAGACGGCTGTCTCGAGGGCATTCAGCCAGCACTGGAAGCCGGAGCGGGCGCCTGCGAGCTGCGAGGCAACAGTTACGAATCGGATCGTCGGCTCTGAGTGCAGCACGTGCAGCACGATGCAGGCTGGGCAGCGGGCTGTGAGGTACCAATCATGTTCTTCGGTAAGGATGCAGTTCAGCCAGGCGAAGGCGCTGCGGGCTTCACCGCGGAATGCGCGTTCGGGTTCGGCGCCTTTCTGGTTCGGGAGAGTGCGGGCTGCGATGCGCTCGGCTTGGTGGTTGATTAGGAAGAGGGGGACGAGGAGGGTGTGGATGATGTCGCGGTGGAGGCGGAAGGTTTCTTGTTCGGTAGGGGTGCAGGAGTGTCGGTGGCCGGCGCAGAAACTTGGTCGCTCCATGCCGCATTCCTGGCGGCGGAGTTGTTCGCGCATTACTCGGAAGGCTTCATTGCGCTCTAGCTCAACTTGTTCGTGTCGGGAGATGTGGAATGGGGAGGCCATTGTGGATGATGTGTATATGTTGGGTATTTTTCTGGACCGGTGCGATCGGATATGATGGTATGGACTTATAGAACCATGTCGGGAATTGATAAAGCCAGGTATAGGATAGGGCTGAGTTGAAATAGTCGGAAAATAATTCAGGGACCGGATGCGGGCTAGATATTATAAGGTGACCCCCCCTGCGGAAACGTCATTTCGCAGTGTCTCCCGTTTTTGGTGAGTCCAAGGGAAAGCCCAGTCGATCCTAATGGAGGGACCCACTAGCTGACGAACACTCTGCGTGTGGCGATGATAATTGGTGGGCATCTCGGAATGAGGTGGAGAAGTGGAGATTGGAGAAAGTCTGGACTGTCGCACATCTCAGGATGTTAGGGATGTTTACTCCGTATAGTTCTGTTATTTGGAGGTAATAGTTAACATACCTGCAATTACATAAATGTTAGACGGATGCGACGTTATTTCTACTACGTCTTACGCACTCATCTCATAAAAATTGAATATGATCGAATAGCTAACCTCCCTTATCTCGCAAGGACCCCGTTCTAGCCCCCCGTGGCAACCGCCGAAAACCGCCCAGTGGGGTAACGTGGCAGTCTCGAATTTGAAAAGCCTTCCCAAGATCGTGTTGGCGTTATTGCTAGTGATATTCAATCTTAAGATTATATGCATTAGGGGTCCACGAGACTATCGTTGATTTCTTCCTAGCCCGATATCTGCCCAACGCATCTCGTGAACAAAGAAGATAACCAACGTATTTCTTTAATTTCTTTGAAAGAAAAAAAATAAAAAGCCAATAATCTGCCGATCGATGAGGTGCCGTGTTGCCAGGTTATGAAGGTAGGACTATCTTTCCCATGTCCAGTAAGAGTGGATATAAGGGTCAAGTCCAGAATAGCAGTGATTGACAGGGTTTAAGATGGGGGAATATGTTGTACTGGTCCGACATCGTGCCACAGTGATGGTAGTGACAGTGAATAGTTTTTTATATCATAGACATGTCTCAAGCCTCCCAAGGTACTAGAAATATTTTATAGTATTTATAGTATAGGGGCGAGTGGTGTTGTGGAACTCGGTAGATTCCGGTATAGGGGGCAATATGGGATTGATTTTTGCAGATTTTGCAAGTTAATTTTAATATATCAATATTCACTGGAGACTGCACATCTTCTACCTACTTAAGTATCTATATCTGCACGCAGTACGCACGGAGTACTGCGTATTCCGTAGTCTAGATTCAATCTAGATCTATGTTGTACTCCATGCTCTGTGCGATATCTGCATATGATGGGAACTAGGGCTGGACCCCAACGGCTACGGTACGGAGTACAACTCTATAACAGTCAACATTTGAACTTGCCTAGTTGTACTTCGTTGTACTCCAGTTGTACAGGTTGTGTACTCTCTCTTATTACTTTGTATACCTCGAAGCTCAGTTACTTAGTTAAAAACAAAATCGTACCTGGAATGTCCCAAATTGGGCCAGGAATGAAGCACGCTAGTTGAGAATAAACACGCAGATAATTCGTTGCTACAGTTCCAAATCAAGGAACTGATCTCTTTATGTTTCAGCTTCTTCTTTTCCTTCTTTCCTTAAAATTGCTGGAATTAGAGGTTTTTGGTTTGCACCTGCCCTTTCCTTCGTCCGGGCAAGAGCGTCAAACATACCAGACTTGAGAGAGCCTTTTCTTCTCTCCTCTTCTCTTCTATTCAAGACATTGCTATTTCATCACATCCTCTATTTCACTCTTACTCTCACAGAATTAACCATGTTGTCACCCCTGGCATTTTCAGTGCCGTTGCTACTTGCTGGCTTGCAGGCCACCGCAGTGGGTGCAAGCCCATCCATTTCAGCTGTCGGCTCCAAGTTCTTCTACGAGAATGGAACCCAGTTCTACATCAAGGGTACCTAGAAATCCTACGCTGTATACACTGTAGGTATATTACCTGACTGACTTGGCTAGGCATTGCTTATCAGCTTACCCCAAGTGACCCGCTTATTGACACTGCCCAATGCAAGCGGGATATCGCCCGGATGTCCGAGCTGGGCACCAACGCTATCCGTGTATACCACGTGGATCCCCATGCTGATCACGAGGGTTGCATGTCGGCACTGGCCGATGCTGGTACGGTTGATTCCCATCTGGGTAATTGTTTATACTGATACGTTATCTAGGAATCCATTTGTTCGTCGATTTGGACACTTTCAATACCCAGATTGAACAGGTAGATCCACTTTTCCTTCATGTGCAACATCGACTGACGATCACAGACCGAGCCCCACTGGAATCAGACCCAGTTTGATCACTTCAAGGAGGTGCTCGATGAATTCCAAAAGTTCGACAACACTGCCGGTGTCTTTGTCGGAAATGAGGTACTCACCACGGCCAATGGCTCGACTGCTGCCCCTTACGTCTTGGCGGCTGCTCGCGACATCAAGGCCTACCGTAATCAGAAGGGCTATCGCGAGATTCCCGTGGGTTACTCCGCAGCCGATATTGCCGATCTGAGACCCATGCTGCAGAACTACATGGCATGTTCCAAGGATCCATCCGAGCGCTTGGACTTCTACTCACTGAACGCCTACGAATGGTGCGGTGTCTCCAGTTATGAGCAGTCTGGATACAATATTCTGCAGAAGAACGCGACTGATTACCCAATCCCTATCTTCTTCTCCGAGACAGGCTGTAACACCCCGTCGCCTCGCACTTTTGAGGACCAGGCTGCCATCTTTGGTGACCACATGTCCGACACTTGGTCTGGATCCATGGTCTATGAGTGGATTGAGGAGACCAACGACTACGGGTTGATTAGCTATGGGCCGTCTGTGGATGCTGCGACCGCGACCGCGAGCAGCATCGAGGACGGCTTCACCCGCAAGGGCACTCCGACGCCTGTGTCGCCTGATTTCGACAACCTCAAGTCTCAATGGGCTACTCTGCACCCAACCGGAGTTGCCCTTTCCATCTATAAGAAGAGCGCAACCAGCGTCGCCGCCATCGAGTGCCCTGCCTCGACCTCCGGCGGATGGGCAGTCGACCCAAGCTCGCCGCTTCCTACCTTGGGACAGACCTTTAAGCAGGGAACTGATTCCACAGCGACCAGTAAGGACAGCAAGGGCAGTAAGGTTACCTCAAAGGGATCTCCTTCTGCATCGGCAACGAAGGAAGGCGCTGCTCAGGCTATGACTGTCGGCTCGCCAGCTACTGAGCGCCTGCTCGCTGGATCCTTGGTGCTGTCAGGTCTGCTGGGTGCTGTTGCGATCTGGCTTTGATTTTGTCTTTTTCTTCTTACCCGACTCTTGACGATTGCGGCTCAAGCCGTTGTATTGATAGCATCGACGAATTTGGGATAGACGAGTTCGGCCAAGCCGCTGCGTGATATATTGGAGTTGGTGTGCTGTGTTTGCATACAGGTTATGTTATCTCAGGTCTGTCTTTCACGAAGCATGAAGTGTACACAAGAAATGAATTATTACTGCTGAATACCTAACTCGGTCATTGGACCATCAAGACATTATCGTACATCTCCATCTACTTATTAAACGACAGACCTTCTATCCCAGTGATGTTCATATCCAACTCCGGCAGATAGAGCTGAGGCAAGACCTGCTCCACACGTTTCTCAGGCTCTCCGACCTCCGAAACATCCTCTTCTTCCTCAATATCAACGTCAAGCAAATCTCCATCTTCAACAGTACTCTCACTCTCACTCTCACTCCCACTCCCACTCCCAGCATCCCCAAACCCAAAATCAAACTCCGAAACCGACCCCGACTCAGAAAATCCCAATGGAGCCGAAGACACAGAAGCAGCACTCCCCGCCCCCATCTCCCGAACAGCCTCCAAACCCCCATTCCTGACCTTCTCTCCCCCCTCAACCCGTTTCTCCTTAATACAATGCAAACCCCCCATCCCATCCATATTCCCCCCTCTCCTCCCTCTAGCAATAGCATCCGCAAACCCCCTCCTAACCCGCTTCGCAAGCGGCCTCTTCCCACCCTCCAAATCAAGCATAGCACGCACAACAATCAACATCCGCGGTACAGCCCAGAAAGTACGATCGGAGCGTCGATCCCGTCGACACCGTTTCAGCGCATCGCCCTCTAATAGCGCAATCCATGACTGGACTTGCACGGCATTCCGCGCGAGATGGAAGCTTGCATCTGCTATTCCGCCGCCGCGGCCTGCGGACCGGTTGCGGGCACTGCGGTGCGCGCTGAAAGACGTGAGGGTTCTTTTGTGTAGGGTTGTTAGGATGTCGAGGGTTGTCGCTGCTAGGGAGAATATGTCTGCTGGGGCGTGGGGATTTGGTGATGAGGAGTGGGAGGTTTGTGGTCTGGTGAAGGATGGTGCTAGGGATTGGGCGGATTTGGAGTGGCGGAGGGAGGAGGGGGGTTTTGGAGAGAGGATTGTTGAGGTCTGTTGCGGATTTGGGGATGTTAAGGTCGATGTGTTTGAGGAGGAGGATGTGGAGGTTGAGGCTATTGATGGGGTTGGGAGGGTATTTCTTGTTCTGCGGGACAAGAATGATGAGAAGCGGTGTATCTTTGCTTGCGGTGATGCTGCAGTTGCATCTGTGTGGGTGGAAGAGGCTGCTGAAGATTCTGAGGATGAAGAGGAGGATGAGAAGGCGAATGAGAAACGTGACGGTGAGCCCGGTAAGCCTAGGCGGATGACTGTTCTTTTCGAGCCGGCTGAGTCTGGAATCGTGTGGTCTGGAGAAACAGGTGGGCTTTCGCTCTCGTTCAATGGGGCTAGCACTAGACGGGCTGGCCGTTGTCTGCGCTTCGTACGTCCTCCCGAGGGATGTAGTGTCTGTGCGGGCTGTGGTGGCTTTTGCGGGACGACCGGAGCTGGGGAACGAGTCCAGCGCTCTGGTGCAGAGTAATTATATGCTTCGAGGTCGTTGACATGTGGCGGAGCTAAGAGGGAGTCGAGTGCTTGAAATTGACCGAGGCAGATATGAAAGTTCGCGTCGACAAAGATGTTGGATGGGCGGATTGCGCCGTGGGAGTGACCGCGTGCGTGCAGCCAGGAGACTGCAGATGCAAGGCAGTGGGGCCAGGTGATCAAAATCTGTCGGCGTTGTTCTTTGTCTAGCCGTTTGAAGGACATCGGCTCGTCTGTGAGGAAGCTGTGTAGGTTTCGATCTGCCGTGGCGCCAGTGAAGAGCACCGAGACGCTGTCGTCTTTCAGATATGAGGCGTAGACAGAGACGATATGCTGATGGGACAGGCTTTTCAGGTTGTGGATCTCAGCGAGAACCTCGTCGGACGAGAAGAAGTATGGTGCACCGCCGACTTGCACTTGGGTCCGCATGTAAACTCGACAGACCGAGCCGGCGAGGACTACCCTATCTACCGTATCATCACGTCCGTGTATTCCGCTGCTGGTGTTGGTGCGTACAGCCTCGACAGGAACGCCTTCGTTCTCGGTATAGACGACATGCTCTCCCTCCGCTATACCACGGACCAGGAACCGCCATTGCGCATGAAAGAAACTCGTCTCGAGGGCGAGATCTTCTCCATGCGGGGATAAGTGTAGTAAATCGATACTATGTTCGGCGACAGGTAGATCATCATCGTCACACGATTCGTCGACTAGCGCAAAGATCCGATCGGGAATGCCGATAGCGTCGAGGATCATAAAGACACGGCCAGCCTTGGTGAGGATCCATTCCATGTACGTCTCGCTGGTCAAGCCTTCACCCCAGTCCGGTAGTTCAAAGAGGCGGGGAATATTTTCTGGTCGCAGGCGACTGACGATGTACTTTGCACTGAGGGTGGATTTGATGCGCTCCTCGGGCCACCATAGTGAGGTATGTTCATACTGAGACATATTGGCACGTCCAGCAGAAAATATTGCCGATCAATATAACTGGGGAGACCTGACCGTTAATATAACGAACAATGTCCTAGACGATGCGGCTGTTAAAGACCATATTTCCTCAACGGTAGGAAGGCCACAGAATACTGGGCGGCGACTGGTGGAGAGCTTATCTCGCAAGGAGATGGGTCCATATGTAATGTTCAATAGCCCAGAGGGTCAGATGAATAGTTTCAGTTTAGAGTTGACCATCCTAAATACTAGGCATCCATAACTTTCGATCTATCTTGTTACAAGTAGAAATGTCTTAAGCTCGTTCTCAGCCAATCTAGGGCTTTGGGCTTATCTTTACCAAGGAGATAAGAGATCATCTGTCAATTGTCATATGCATTTGGATGGATCTAATGTACTTTATTCTTGTTTCGGGCAAATGCGGTAAACTAGCAAGGAGGTTCAATAATTGTATTCCTATTCCCTTTAGGGGCACATGATCCATATGCACTCCGGATGTACTCCGTGTATGTCCATTGCATCCGATCGTGGCGGAGATCCATTTCTCCGTATACCTATCACCAGCATTGCAGTAACCCCTGTAGGGAGTACTCCGTACATTGTGGGCACTAGTGGTGCTCGATAATGGCATTGACGCCGTTGTAGATAGCCCATCTAGTCCGTCAGGAACCGGAATCAATGGAGCACGACCCCGTCAGCCTCCGCCGTTTCTCGCCCCACAATCTCATTTTTGTAGTCGCCCTAATCCAGACTGCCGGGAAGGATAAAGTTGGATCAGCATTGAGCGGGGTATCTTTGATTATGGCCTCGCGAGAGGATGAGAACGACCTAATCAATGCAGGCTACCTATGTAAGTAGCGCGATAACTGCACGGGCTGGGTCTGAATGATGCGTCGGTCGCTTTCAGTTAGATCGAAACATCGGAGCCGAGCCGATCGGCGAGAGACTTGCCTGCTGATGACGGTGGACATGCCGCGGAGATTGAAACGCTCGCTTTTGAACACCGTGGATACCCCCGATGTGTTTGCAACATCATACCATTGAGGGCAAGGTTCGCTAACAAAATTGTTCTTTCTTTTATTCGACAACGGAAATAGGAGCTTGGGGAGTACATGGTGCCGCAGATGTATTGGTTCAGGATGATATTGCCGTCGGCATCGGTCTCAAGAGGCCGGTATATCGGCGGATGCCGTGTTTGTATTCAAGATCGTCTAATTTCAACACTAGGAAAACCCTCGATACAAGTACACACGAAAGTGTTAGTCTCTCATGTTTCGCGGAAAGGTTCTTACCAAGTAAGCCATGTTATAACACAAATTCAAGTGGTTGAAAATACCAGTCACTATAATGAACCCGAAGTCTATAGGTATATCAATCTACCTCCATATGTACATATGTACATAGTAGTCTTGACCTCAGTTTCTATGAATATAGGTCGAAGCCTACAAGTGAACTACAGCTTCTACGAGAAAAAGGGACATAAAACGCAAAAGGTTCCCCATTTGGCAAACATCCTCAGATGTTTTGTCTTCCCTCACTTGATCGCTCCTGCCAGTTTAAGCCAACGTCTCCCCCTCTCAACTTCAAATCTCTCCTCCTTCCCCTAACTATATTTTCCGAGCACATCTCAGTCGAATCTCCCCAAGATGATCGTCGTGACCGGTGGTGCGGGCTTCGTCGGCTCAAACATCGTCAAGGAGCTGAACATGCGTGGCGTGACAAATGTCGTGGTTGTCGACGATATGACAGATGGCTCCAAGTTCCGAAACCTTGTCAAATGCGAAGTGGCTGATTACATCGATGCGACTGCATTCCGTGAAGCGATTCGCTCGAAAACCTTCTCTCATCGTCCCCGCGCCATTTTCCACTATGGCGCAAGTTCTTCAATCACCGAGACCAACGGCAAGAAAATGCTCGACGCCAACTTCACCTACTCCAAGGAGCTTTTCCATTGGTGTAAGGACCAGGGCGTCCGCTTCATCTACGCCTCATCCGCTGCTGTCTATGGCAACAACACTGCCTTCGCCGAGGGAGATTTCCAGGAAGCCCCTCTGAATGTCTACGGATACTCGAAGATGCTATTTGACCAGTATGTCGTCAAGAACACAGACATCCGCTCCCCCCAAGTCGCGGGACTCCGCCTATTCAACGTCTATGGACCCGGCGAACAGCACCGAGAATCGGTCCCCAGCACCGTCTATCAATTCTACGAGAAACGGAAATCATTCAAAGCCATTGAGCTCTTTGGGGAATACGCCGGAGTCGAAGCTGGACAGCAGAAGCGCGACTTTGTCCACGTGCAGGACGTCGCCCGCCTGAATTGTTGGTTCCTTGACCACCCCGAAATCAGCGGCATTTATAATGTCGGCACCGGTGTTGCCAGCAGTTTCCACCAAGTCGCCACGGAAGTTGCCAGCCACTTCGGCAACCCGGAGGGTTACATCAAGTTCATTCCTTTCCCAGCCGAACTGAAAGGAAAATACCAGAGCTACACCTGCGCTGATATATCAAAGCTCCGTCGGGCTGGCTCTGTGCTGCGTTTCCGTGGCATCAAGGAAGGGATTAAGGATTACATGGAATGGCTTGAAGGCCCCGAGGGTTTGACCTGGTAATCATTGCGCCGAACCTGATTACATAGCACCCCCGGTACCTTGGAGAACGCTGTAAATCTTCCATTCGGTGACGACAGGCTTTATCATTCGAAACGGTGTGGGACCGTCATTTGTTCCTGTTTACAGAAATGTCTTCATATTTAGGTACACCAAACATACTTATGGACATCGCACAACAACTTCACACCAGAAAAGCCCCCCAAAATTTTTGAAAATGACCCAACGACGAAATCTTAAAAATAGAAACAGAATGATGAACCTCTTTTGTTCCTGCCTGGATTGAGCGAGACTTCTTGAACACTGATGACCAAGCCTCCACATCATGGTCGACTAGGTAGCCAAAATTTCCATAGACAATGGAGCAGAGATTCTCAAACACGCTCTTCTGACAGTAACCATTGAGTGTTTAGGTGTGTAGTCCGTCCTATCCTTCATTGTAGCTCAGCTCCAGCAAGGCATTGATAGCAGCGCTCTTTTCGTGGGATAATGATTTATCTCCAGGCAATTCTACTCTTGGCATTATACCACTCACAGCCCGTTTCATGGTAGCAGAAACCAGGTCATCTCTGCTAATGCCTGCAGGTCAACTAGAGCCGGAGGAGCCAGAAAGCGTGGAATTCATCAACTTGAGCTGACGGACCATTGACCTGCCGCTTGGAAACTGCTGGGGACAGCAGCTTCATACACTGAAACATTCTCATATCACCAGGGCTAAAATGAATAATCGCACTATTAAGTGAATCATTCGTCTCGACTCTCGAAACCCTCATCCTCACCCAAGGCGTAGGCTGCAGCCTCAGCTTCCTCATATTCTACTATTCAATCCTCAACATGATGAATGGGGACACTATCTAGAAATGAATACTAGGCACTACAACTAAAACCCTAAGCCTAAGTGCTTTTGGAAGGTCTTTTTATACTTCTTTTTATATGTCTTTTTAGGAGTATACCAATGCGGTATATAGGACTCTCCTATAACCAGGGATATTTGTCGGCATCAACTGAGCCATACCTATATAAAGATCCTCCTTTCAAATCTTCCTATATTTTCCTCCAGGCCTCCAGGGCTCCAGGGCTCCAGGCTACTCACTCGATTATTTAATGCTTCCCTCCCCCCTCTTATCTTTCACTATACATCACTGAACTATCTTCCCACCTTTCTGATGTCCCTCCTTCGATAGTCCACTCTATTTATTTCGTCCACTCGACCCTCACCGTCACTATATCCGTTTCGGTTCCCTGGACTTGCAGATTTGGTCTTTCCTTCTAAAGTTCTTTTTCATCCTTATCTAAATATGTACACATCTAATGATTCGCTTTTTTGCCTCCTCGCGCCGATTAGTTTCAATTCCTGGGGAAATTTATTGCCCCGACCTGTGTAGGTCCTTATATGTCTGCTTATATCTCGTTTTCGATGTCCTTTGTCCCTTCCTGGACACTATCAATTCACGAACCCGATAATTTTCCGATTGATGCCAATCAAAGCCCTACTCCACGCGCAGTTAACACGCCAACATTGCCATACCCGGCCGATTCTGGCCATCGATAACGATGCTGATGACGAATTGGTTGGTAGCAATAACACCTCTGCCATGAAAAGCCCTGCATTCGAAAGCACGGATGCCAATGCTAACGTTAATGTCAGTGCTAATACCGAACCGTCTGGCCTCATCTCCGAGATGACCTCTTAACTCAATCTGTCTGTCGCTCCTCGTCCTGGATCTCTTGCTCGCGAGTATGCCAGTGACGAGGTCAACTATACTTTGTGATATCTCGAGAATATGTGACGGAGGATGGATAGCGAGAGACCCCCAGAGTGAAGCAATACACTTTGTGGAAAAATAAGGGAAAACGTCAATCGTATATAAATGCAAATTTAGTTATGCCGAAATGCGAGAGGGCCTAAAGACTGTCGATAAGTTATTCAATGCGTAGTAGACTTCGATGATGTAGCCAAAGGTTCTAATAAGAGCCGAAGAAAACTAACTCGAGCATCCTTAAGAAACAGGCGAGGTCTATCGCGTTCAATTAGGGAGTGAATAAATAAAATACAAAGAAGTCCCCTTTGACCGACGATCTGAGTCAATTCCCAGCCAGTAGTTCTCAAAACCAGGACGAACCACTCCAGGCCCGCGAAGACAAGCAAGCAAAAACACGAAATCAATCCGCACTGTGCATATTGTAGTAGCAAGAGAAAAGTAAAGGAAAATCACGAGTTGTTCGTGGGTTAATCTGCCGAAAAACGCATCTACATCACCAAGCTGAAGAAAGCCGCGAGAGAAGCCAGCACCAGACTGGAAGCGATAGTCACGCTCGAGGCTGAGTTGAAGATCGGGGATGCGCTGGGCGAGAAGCTTCTACTGGCGCTTCGACTGGCGTACGGGTACCCGCTCGAGGTCACCCATGTCGCTGATGCGCGTGCAGGCACCACGCCGGTCTGTGCCGGGGAAGCGCCGCTGGGACCAGCCGGGACCAGACCGACGGTTGGGACGGCGCCGGCACTAGAGCCGGTGTTTGTGACAAAGCTGACTTGCGGGACTGTGACGGTGTAGGTCGAGTAGGTGATTGTTGTGCAGGGGAGGGCGGGGGCGGAGGTGATGGGGACGACGGCGCTGGCGGTGACACTGGCGCCAGCCACGCTGGATGGGGGCGCGGAAGGAGCGACTGTCGGAATCAGGGTGATGGTTGAAGGTATGGCGGTTACGATGCCTGGGTTCTCGGGGACCCAGGTGGCGCAGATGCCGGTGAAGTAGGAGAGGGCGGATTGGATCTCTTCCTTGGATGCGCCCCAGGCTTGAATGCAGGAGATGACTTTGCTAGTGAATTCGCTGTTGGGGCAGAAGCATGAGGCATCGCTGTTCGATTTGCACTTGGGGGCGAGTGTGAGCCAAGTGTTGATACACTGCGGCACGGTATTGGGGCAAGGAGCTGAGGGAGCTGGGCTCGATACCGGGGAAACACCGCTGGGGACTGTCGCAGCGTTGCTAGCCGTAGAATGAGAAGGAGTCTCGGTCGCACTGGCGGTAGTGGCGCACTGGGTACAGATAGTTGAGACAGAGGTGAGGGTCACTGTGGAAACTGTGTTGGATGTGGTCACGTAGGTGGAAGAATCGGAAGTGACCGTGCTGGTCACTGGGCAGGTGGTCTCGGTCACGTAAGTCACAACCGTGGTAGTCGCACCCTCCGGAATAGTGGGCGTAGAGTTGGCGCCAACACTTGAAGAGACGACACTGGTGACAGCGGGGCCCGTAGGAGCAGTGGTGGAGGCGATGCCTGTTTCAGAGGGAGCGGGAGTGCTTCCGGCAGCCACAGAGCTGGGGAGGTTGGGAGTGGAGGTCAAGGTAACAGTTGATACCGTGCTGGATGTCGTGAGGAAAGTTGAAGATCCGGAAGTGACAGTGGCAGTCACAGGACAGGTGGTCTCAGTTACATAAGTTATAACCGTTGCAGTCGACCCTTGGGGAATTGCAGGTGTGGTATCAGCACCCACGCTGGAGGAGACCGAGCTAGTGACACCGGGGCCGCTGGGAAGAGCACTGGAGACCTCTGCAGACGAAGAAGAGACGGGGCCAGTGGTCTGACCAGCAACGGAGGTGGCGGTAGCGGAGCACTCAGTGCAGATAGTAGAGACAGTAGTCAAAGTGACAGTTGAAATTGTGCTCGAGGTAGTCACGAAAGTAGAGCTACCGGAGGTAACAGTGTTAGTCACCGGACAGGTCGTCACAGTCTCCCAAGTAACGACAGTGGTGGTGGCCTCGCCAGGTGCGGGGTTAGTAGTGCCAATAGGAGACGAGGGGGCAGGGGACGAGGCATTGGAGGTCACGCCAGGAGCCGAGGAGCTTCCGGCCGACGCGGAAGTAGCTGAGGTGCCACTTGGGAAAGATGATACAACCGAGGAGCTAACGGGCAAGACACCGGTTGAGCTTGGGCCAGCGGGTAGTGTGGAGCTGACAGCGGCTGTGGTAGTCTCGGTGACAGGACACACAGTGGTCGAGATAGGGATAGTCGAAGTCACAACTGTGGTAGAGTCTGCTGGGCAGCTCACAACCTCGGGGGCACAGCTGGTGATGGTAACCTCGCTTGTGGTGAACACGGTTGAGGTAGTCATCTGGACTGGAGTTGTTATCGCCGGGGTTGAAGGGCCGGAAGTTCCAGCTGGGGTACTTATAGGGGAGGAAGCCGAAGAAGCCGAAACGGAAGATGTGGGAACGGATGTGCCACTAGGAGGAGGAACGCCAGCAGATGAACTAACGGGCAGAACACTGCTCGGGCCGGGTATAACAGGAGTCGATAGTGAGCTAGTAGCGGCAGCGGTAGTCTCAGTGACGGGGCACACAGTGGTCGAAATAGCGATAGTCGAGGTCACTACCGTGGTCGAGTCTGCTGGACAGCTAACGACCTCGGGGGCACAGCTAGTGATAGTGACCTCACTAGTGGTGTACACGGTTGATGTAGTCATCTGGACTGGAGTGGTAATCACCGGGGTCGAAGCGGTGGAAGGTCCAGCAGGGGTCTCGGTCGCAGCGGAGGAAACAGATGAAGAAGGCGAGACCGAAGATGTGGGAACGGACGTGGCACTGGGAGTAACACCAGCAGATGAGCTGACAGGCAGAACACTGCTTGGACTAGGTACAGCAGGAACAGATAGCGAGCTTGTAGCGGTAGCAGTTGTCTCAGTGACGGGGCAGACCGTGGTGGAAAGAGCGATAGTGGAAGTCACCACAGTGGTTGAGCCTGATCCAGCAGGGCAATCGGTTACAGTCGGAGCACAGCTAGTGATAGTGAACAAACTGGTGGTAAACACAGTCGATGTAGTCATCCGAAGAGGTGTGCTCATCGCCGTGGTGGTGACTGGAGCCACAGCAGAGCCTGGGACAGAGAGGGAAGGTACAACGATAGGGCTGGAAGCAGCAGACACAGATATCTGTTCATATGGAACTCTGGTAACAGGAGTGGTGGCAAGGACAGGCGCAGTGGTTGTGGAACCAGGAGTGCAGTCAAAGCCGACACTGTAGATGCCGAAGCCGCAGCTCTCGTGTTCACTATCGTCGGGCAGCTCGAAGTAAACAGACTTAGCACCACCACACTGGTCATTGTTGACCACAGTACCAGCTGAGTTGCAGGAAGCGGTGTTCTTGCAAGTCGATCCATCGGGCATGCTGTAGATGATGTGCAATTCGGTATCCTTCTCAGTGGCAACGTGGAAGTTGGTCACAGAAAAGCCGCTCTCATGCGAGCCGCAGGCAAACGATGGAGCCGAAGAACCGGAGCTTTGGGAGCCGGAGCTAGAGGAGCTACCTTTGGAGACGGTACCGGAGATACATTTCTGGGTCTATAGCCATGGTCACTATGTGCAGATGAAAGAGAGACTTGCATCACTTACGCCACGCTTGCCAAGGCTTGAACCGAAGCCATTGCCGCAAGTGAAACCAGAGAAGGAGAAGCCACCATAGTCGGAGAAAGAGCCAGGGGCGAGGTCAGACCAGCTGAAGCCCTTGTTCTGGTAGTCATTACACTTGTTGGGCGATCTACCCGGGCTGGAGTAGAATTTGTCGGAGCCCCAGTACTAAAGCATTCGAGTTAGGATGTATATCAAAGGCGACAAGGCATGAGTTGAGGCATACCGCTCCAGTAGCCTGGCTAGAGGCCAGAAGAGAGAAAAACGCAATAGCCGAAGTGACCTTCATATTGGAAGGATATCGGTAACGAGTGGCGGGAAAGTAGGACACGAAAGAAAGATAGAACGGAAGGAAAAAAGAAGAGAGGAGGAGGTATTGATGAAAGAAACAAAAATGGAGTGATATAAAGGTCTGGGCTGGGTAGGCAGCGATATAGAAAGCCAGGCGTCAATGGATATTGCGATATAAGCCACAATTGTATAGGCAGCAAAACAGGCAATTGCTATTAGTATTGTTGATGAGCCACGACAAAAAAAAGCCTTGATGAAGCTGAACCGGTATCAAACGAAAGAGGGTGGAACAAGGAAATACGTATCCGTGAACGAACGTCCTTGGTTGGAGACGAACCAAGATGGGCCGAAAAGCCAAAAGGAAATCAAAACAATGACGAGAATGAAAGAAGCCCGGGATCTGGGAAGAGTCGCGGTCTTTAAACAATCGTCCAACCCAGGCTATGCCATGAACTTCTATAGACAAAGAGTTCGACTGCCGCTAGCAAGCCTTTGCTGACCCAAAGCATGCTGGCGTCAAGGACCTTGGTAAGACATTTCGTCAGAGAAAAGCGAACATTCCTCCAATCGGCACGAATCTGAAGGTACAGATGAAACGGTAGTGGCTGAAAAGAGGGCGAGCTGGGGATCCATCCAAAGCTCGGCATCCATTAGTACAGGAACGACCTGCAGAAGCTGGAGATGAGCCAGTCAGGGCTTGCAGACTGGGGCCGTTGACCAAGGCGCTTGCTGAGGGGTCCAATCCCATTCAGCATCAGTTCGTCCATCCATGCGATGTGACTGTGAGATCGACATTTATTGACCAGCCAATGAGCATCGTCGATTAAAAATAGTGTATGAATATTAGGCGCTTGATCGGCACGGAAACCTGCATACAACATACGGCTGATGGTTGAGAGGAGAGGAAATGGTTCTCCAGGATAGGGTACAAGGATCCACATGCACTTCTTTGGTGACTTGGGGTCTTTCATCTCTGTAAGGCTTTACTGGCTTGAACTTCCCCTTTGAGTGAGACTCACCACTCCCCGAGCGTCACAGATTGAAAATAATTCAAAATAATTCTATGCGACCGGTGAGAAAAGAAGAAAAGAAAGAAAAGAAACCCTTGGCGTCTCGCCCTTTTGTCGCCCACTTTCTGCGTGCCTGTATGTATGCTTACTATTGATATTCGTGCTCTTTTTCCTTGTATAAGCTCCTTCATGCGTCTTCGAAGCGCCGGGGTCGACGAATCAGAGAAAGGATACGGAGTACTCCGTACTTTGGGGCCAACGTTACTGCTTTTGTGTACAAAATCGACTTTCCTTTTCCTTTTTTATATTTGTTCCCAGGGGTAACAGCTCGGGTATCTGAACGTTCCGTCTCACCTTTGGACTTGATTTATGTGGCTACTAGAAAAGCCCAGCGCCAACGAACCTGTCCTCTAGAGCCGAGACTACCTAGGTAGTCCACTAGCGGGGTTGTCTAAACAGCTCGGGTTCCTCTTCTTGGCTGTCGACATGCAACGGATACCATTGCTATTACGTCTCCGATCTAACTCTGAATAATGTCCCAGGGTGGCCCGGGGTCTTGCTTAGCCTCTACTCTTTCCTGGACTATTACTTCACAAGAAACAGGCATTGTGTGCCTTCGAGCTTTGAGGCGTAGAAGTGCCGATATTCCGTATTCCTTTCATATTTCATAGCATTAGTCTCCTATTTTATTGATTCTTTTTTTAAAGCAGAAATGCAAATTATTTTCATCTTTCGGCGCGTCGGATGGCTTTGCCTGGCTTAAATCCGAGTTAACGTGAAACGCTCAACTAAAAATATCGACGAATCACTTTTTTTAGCGCCACATGGTGAATGTCACGCTGTACCTCCTTGGAACTATCGGAGTCTAGACATATTAATTTCTACTTGAGGTTAATAATAGTCTATTCGCCTCTTACTTGCCCGATAAATAATTAATGTTGTGCAAGTGTCCAACCGCTGTGCCCAGGTTGCAGTTTATCGATTCCTTGACCATGCAGCGTTCATCCGATGTCAAGGCTTGTCTGGACATCCATCCCATTTATGTTTAGCTACATCGTATTTAATCAAGGGCAACATGTTCCCCCTCGACAATTTATGCTAAACATGTGGTTAGAAGTAGGGCGTCGAATAGTTCCGAACAAATCTCGCTTACGGAGCACTAGGTGAATAAATTCATCTATCAATACTTGGCGTAGTGGGAACCGGTGACAGTCAATTATGTTAATTGTACTCTGGACTCCGTAGTCATGCTCAACTCCACTTGTCATAACCACCACGGAGTACGCAGACCACTAGCTTAATATAGAAGCCCTAAAGTCTCCGGTTGGTGGAATATCATTGTAAATGTTTACACGAATAAAGCGGACTTCAGTACAGAAAGCCCGTTGACTTTCACACGAGGTTGAAGCCTAGATACTATGGTCCGTGCATAGACCAGGGCGCATAGCGGACCGCCGAACGGCACGAATTTAGCTTTCCCCATATAACGGCCAGACGGAGGAGCCGTTGACCAACCCCTGCCCCTTCAATCAAATGCACGGCCGCTATTGATGCCACGGGAATAGAATTCCCTTACTGAGTAGCATATTAGCAAGCTCTTGGGCCGGACCTCTCCGTGTGGACAGGGCGATGAAACAACTCCCGAACGTGCCCCAAGTCTGAGTCTTCACTTGCTATGGAGTTGAATAGGCTGATATCTGATACATCACCTTGGAAGATGAGAACTTACAACGCTCGTCTCAAGTTATCCCTGTCTTGGAATATAATATCCTCGTCGACGGATATAAGTTGGGTAACTTGATTTTCCTTGAACTAAAGACACCTCTCTAGCTATATAGGAAAACCCGCGATAAAAAAGCCCATGCGAAACACTTGGACAATCTACAAATCTACATATCTAATGACTTGGCCTCTTGGACTAAATGGATTATCTCTTAGACACAAATGCTTACATTGCATGTGCAACTGTAGAACGGAAGCAACCTTGGAACGATCACCGCAGATCTTCCTATGATGCATCAACTAGCGGTGAACAGCACGAGCCTCATAATGAGCCCCACGATCTAGTCCCACTTCGCTCTGCCGCAACAACCTTCCTTCCGAGACCTATACATTAAACATGGACGACGCCCTCCGCCCTAGCAAGGAAGCCTTTGACTACACACTCCGCGCGAGCTATCAGCTATGGTCAACCCATTTCAACACCAGTGACAGCCGCCTTCCGCTGGAGTGTATGGACCTTAAGTCCCTTCTTAAAGACACGCCTGCATTTCTCGCCGACGGATTGATTCCATCAGACAAAATATTCTCATTTGCTTGTGCGAAAACCCGCAGCGATCTCTAAATAAAGGGGCAGTTGAGATGGCGGACGTCTAGAGCTGGCGCGCACTGCATTACCCCACCTAAGGTTATACCGTTATGTCTTCGGCTAGGTGTCTCAGAAGCCGGGAAGGTGGAACTCTCTAAGGAAGCCCCTCTATCCGAATGGCCCGGTGTGCATGGTATCTCTGGCTATGACGAGGGTAACCACATCGCCGTCTTATTCTTGGCCTGGGCATACATTCTATCGGCGAAATGGGCAGAGTTACTCGATCGCTCCGATACGCACCAGTGTTTAGCAAAGTACTCTGACACTTGTCAAGAACCCGAAGAGGCAGTTCAACCGGAGGTGATAGAGGTTGATTTGCCTCCAGATGCAAGCGAAGCCGAGATCGTCTGGTGGAACGCTGTACTCTCTGGAACACCGGCTTGGGAAATATCCGTGGAATACGAGTCTGAGAAATTCATCTCGCCATGGTCCGTTTCATTAGCCGGAGCCATATCAATGCGAGCGAAACAAGGAACGCACCAGTCGACAACGTACAACCCTCCATCATCAACAACAGCCTTCAAATACCTCACCCGCTTCTGCAGCCACCACCGCATCTACGCGCAATGCACGGCAGCGCTGTCAGCATCATTTTTCACGCGCAACGGACGTCTCCACAAGTCACCGACTCTCCCAATCCCAAGACCCGCTAAGAACCCGAAGGACCTGCAGTCCACCCCGACAAGCCCCAAATCCATCTCAGCTCTGATCTCCGAACACGAAAACCTCCTCCCGTACTACATGACCCTAATGAGCAATATGTGGCTCACGACGTTACCAGCAATTAAAAGCATATTCTTCAACCCAGACATACCGTGCAATCTAGTCAGCGCATGGACGAACGCCGCCTTCGCAATAATAAGCCCAATCGTGAAACAAGACGACATCCCACGTCTTCTCAACGGCCTCTCAGCACGACAACCACGTGTGGCCAGTCTATGGCTCGGCGCGGCGGTCATGGGCACGAGTAGCATATACTTGAAAGAATGCGAGCAGGGGATGATGACGTCTTCACTTCAAGCCGAGGCATGGATGGGGACGACGACTACGTTCTTGACACAACCACCGGGCCTCTACGCAAACGATGCAGACTCTGTTCAGCGCGAGGATGAGTGTAAGCTGCTTTTCCTTGCGACGCCTACTGACGGGAGCTATAACCATGGGTATATTACCACCTGGCCGTGGAAGCCGTTCGGCAGTACCAAGACCAGTGATGCGGATATTCTGCTTCGAGAGCATTTGGGCTGTGGATGCCATGCTTTGGAATACGAGGGTTGGGATTGGGAGCTTCGGGATGGGTCGAGGGTTGAGGATACGGGGGTAGAGGCGCGATTTGCCTCGTTGCTTTCGCCCACTACGTCTACGTCTACGTCTACTTCTGCGGCTACTTCTATGTGTGTCTCCTGTCCGAGACTAGGGCTCAGTTTCGCGGATCTTCCCGCTCTGCCTAAGGATTGTGAGTATGATCTGTATTCAGAGCAGAAATCGGATAATCCTACACGGGGCATATTTTGCTGGCTTCGGTTGCATGGGTTTCCGGCGAATGAAAAGCGAATATATCAACATTCGTGGGTTGTGATCGCGATGGACTCGGACGAAGAAGTTGATGAAGATGAGTCTGATGATTCTACGGCTGGTGTTCGAACTGAAAGAGTTCGGGATTGGCTCGATGGTGTCAGCGATGTCGAAAGAGTAGTTGAGGTCGAAACTGAAGACTATTGTGATACCGGGTAGATCGAGCTTTTAGATCCATGAATCAAGGCAGGGGTTTCATGAGACTCCAGCTTGGGCTCTCCAAATGTGTTATCGAGACGAAGTCGCCCTCGGTGTTAGTAATGGGGTGGGTTATAGCTTCACTTGGTCTCGACTTAGTCTCGACGTCGAGGGTGACCTGGGACAGCAGGCGTAATGTTATGGGATAGAGACAATTAAGCAGACTGCGGACCTTTCAGGTAGATCTCAGTTGGGGTTTTATGTCACGAGGTCTGAGCTCCATAACTAGAGGATTGAGACCTAACGATTAATGAGGCTAGCGAGAGAACGTAGTAAAAGTTTCGAATGTTTTTTGATATTGGTCAAGGTAAATGTAAAACAGCAACTTAATCAGCCATCACTCGTTAGAACGCAACCCGCAATCTTTCAACTCCACAAATCCAAAGGTATCACCAGCCCCCGCGACAGGCGAGGGAGAAAAATGGTCAGTCGATAGATATGACATGATAATGAAAGGAAATCAAGGAAATCAAGGACCGGTACGATAATCAAATATCAAAATGGATCGCTTTTGGGTTCAGAGAAACCATCGATCTTTCGCAAGCCAACTCAACATGCATGGCAAATCTAACTCAACCAGTAGAAGAATAGATTGAGCTTCACGACAGTTTAGTGGCACTATGCAATACGACCAAAGCGAAGAGCCTGTGTGCTCAACGCGAGGTCGAGAGGGCCAAAGGTACAAGACCCTAATAGTCGAGTCTGCCAGCGGCTAGAAACAGATAGAATAAATTGTGGCCGTGGTCATCATATGATCTTGGTGGAATCCAAAGTCGTGCAATCGTGAGACCTCAGAGAGGTGCTGGGATGGGGAGCTGAGAGCGACGTTGCTGAGCATCCATCAGCTTGCGTCGCACAGCCTCACCACCTGCAATGCTATTCGATTTGCGCTTGCGTGTTGGGGTTCGCTGGTCGTTGTTCTTGGCGTGCCGGAAGACACTGGCAGGGCGCGCGGGAGAGTTTGCGGGCATAAACTCGCGGTGCTGAGGCAAGCGGAGGAGCGCCTGATAGCGGTTATGGTTGCGACGGAAGGCGGTGACAATACCCTTGTCCAGGTGATTGAGGAAGCGCTCTTCACTGTTGGCTGGTTGCAACTCAGACTTGCGCGTGGGGGTAGGTGTGCCCAAGGACTTTCCAAAGGGAGCGGCCATCGGGGATACTAGGGCATCATCATCGAAGTGCTTATCCATGTCCTCATCTTCGTCGGAGGATCCATTGCCAAAGTCGATGAAGTCGTCGACGTTGAGAGCAGACTCTGGGTCATCTTCTTCGTCTTCTTCGAACGAGCTGTCGATGGTGAAGTCCTGAGAAGGGTAGAATGCCTCAGGGGGACCCATGACCTGGCCTCCCGGGGTGAGATCGTTGCCGAGAGCGGTCATCATGAGGTTGGCGCTGGAAGCCAGCATTGGACTGAAATCCATCTGGTTGGGCGAGGCGAGTGCATCGGTGTCGCTCTCATCGACCAAGTGAAGTGTAGTCTGGCGAGGGCTGGTGTTGGCAGTTCCCGGCATACTGTTGGCGGCGGAGTCCAGCCAGTCGTGGCGAGAAGAGGCATACGCCGGAATAATGACAAGATGCTTGCCAGTGCAGTCGACCAAGGCTACTGGCTTGTGGGGGTCTGCCACGAAGGTTCCCATGATAGGGCCGCGGCGGCGGGGAATACAGTCACTCTTCTCATCCACAGGGGCCAAAGAGTCGGAGGAGTCCCGGCGGAGAAGGGATCGAGGGTGGGTGATAGTTGCTGGCGGGGGGAGATCTTCGTCTGTGGTGTCACCATCATCGCCTTTTCGAGGGTGTTAGCAAAAACAAGACGCAATACGAATGACCAATTATCATACTCTCGTAACCACTCAAACTGCCCTCGGAGGATCCTTCGGATTCGACGTGGTAAATGCTTCCATGGCCGTAGTCGGCGTCACCAAACATCTCTTCCGATTGCCGGCGGGTAGTTCTCTGGTAGTTTTCGTTGTCGTTTTCGATCATACGACGCAACTGTGGGTCCAAGCTGTCTTGTTGTAAGAAGTCACCGGGGATATCGTCGTCACTGTGGGAGTCACTATCAGAGGACGAATCGGATCGCTCCTCGAAATGAACTCGACGAGCGACTGGCGTCTCAGCGGCTTCACTGGTCACCTGAGGCTCTCCAAAGGTGGCCATGGCACTGTAAAGGTGCTCTTCATCAAAGAAGGATGCAGCCGGTAGGAACATGTGATCGTCAAAGGAGTTGATAGCCCACTGATCATCGGCAAATCCAGCGCTGGGCAAAGGCCGGTTGGTCTTCTCAGACTCCACGATCATCATTTCTTCCATCTTCTCAACATCTTGATCTTCATCTTCGGCGTCTGTGATGTAGTCTACACCGGCATACACATCATCTGAGCTATCATCCGAGTCATTGGCATCATTGCCATCACTGCTGTCACTGCTGTCGTCGTTCAAGACACGTCTTCTCTTGTTGACTGCGAGTTGGCGCCCCGCCTTATTGTCTCGGCGACGACCATAAGACGGGGCCCTGACTGCTGGTTCTTGCTCATCGTCCGCATCTTCTTCTGAATCATCTGCCTCGTCGCTCAGATCCCCGAGGGACGAGACTGAAGAAACACTTGAGACCGATGATGATGAAGCTCTCCGTTTTCTATCGGTGGGCCGAGCATTGGCTGGCTTTCGAGACTGATTGGTATCCAGGTTTCGCATGATGTTGGACTCGGGGGTTGAGGGGCGGGGGTGAGCGTGCTTGGCGGTGCTCTTATGAGCCCGCTTAGAAGAGTATGAACTCTGAGGCATCTTGTAATAGACACGTATGGATGAATAGGGGTTGCTTTGTCGAAATGGACTTATTTGGTCCTTGCTTTTTGTTGTTCAAATGGACCGGTCCGTTCCAGGGGGATCCGGTGGCGGGATGAAGGAAGAGGGGTAGGTCTTCTTTAGGTGAGAGGACGGTTGTAGCTTGGTCCCAAAAGAGTGGTCCGTTAAGGGATAAGTCGAAGGGAGGTGGGACGGAGTGGAGAAGATTGAAGAAACGGAGTGGAGGGGAGAAGTCCCAAAGTTATATTTTTTTCGTAGCCACGAAAGCACCCGCAGTCCGTTGCGGACGCTATAGTGCTCCTTCTGGAACTTTGCTAGGGGGCAATTCCAACGCCTTCACACGAGGCGTCGAAAGAGAAACAAATATCGTCAAGTAGAATTGAAGATCGGAGCTGCAGGACTGGGGAGCCGGCAGGGACAGGCTCCCCAGCGAGGCATTTACAGCTCAACGAAGGCCATTTGGCTGAATTCTTGACGATATGAAGTAGATATGTAGTCAATATTGGGAAGGTGGTTTCAATAAGTTCAGGAAAATCCGAAGTAGATCAGTTGAGAGTGCTATGGGAGAGAAGAAGGAGAAGAAGAGATGGTCCGTCGGACGGGTTTTTTTCCCCAGGTGGGTGACACTCGTGATTGGCTGCAGAACACGACCGCCCATTCGTTGGCGCCGCTCACCGACTCTTTCGCGCCAATCAGCGATCGCCGGAAGTTGCAGCGGGAAAGTCATTACATGTCCACCTAGGTATTTGCTTAAAATTAGGTGGTTGCATTGGGATTATATTGGGTATTGGGTTCTATTGCTACTGATGTTGTGCAGTACATGTATCTCTTTAATTCACTACTATTTGGACTCTCGAGGAATATATCCCGGCAGGCCGAGTCGAGTCCGAACAAAAACAAACTTAGAAAACATAAACGTCATTAAAGATCTTCGGCGCATTTCTCCCGGCCAAAACCTTCAAACCTGTAAGAGACAGGTTTACCGGTTGACTCAAGCTTCCACTCAGCCCTGACACGCCATATCAGAAAATCAGTTTGCATTAGACGTCAAACTAGAATATA